GACCTGGCTTCGGGCAGCTCGCCTCACACTCCCTATTCACCATAGAGGTGCGTCAAAAATTGTATGGGCCAGTGACACTCAGGCAGAACGTGTCCGTTCGTGACGCCGCCTGTCGACTACATGTTAAGTGATCCTTGTAGGATGGATGATAGCGAACGAGGACAGCATTTAGTTGTGCACCGCCATGGCACACGCAAACGCAAGCGCGTTATATACTACATATATAGGTATATACATATATACGCATAAATATACATGATATCAATGTCATAACAACTTCAAAGAATGGCACGCACGTCGTTGTGCACCATTCCATGGTACGTTAACCACTTGGGTATTACCCACTTGCACACGCACACACACACACAAACACAAGCGCGCGCTCAAGCGCACGCGCACGCACACGCATGCGCGCACGCACACACGCCCATACATATAGTCATCTAATATATATATATATATCTATATATATATATATATATATATATATGTGTGTGTTGTATGTGTATATATATATATATAATTGCTTGTACCCAACATCAAATTCAGTGTTTATGATCTTGATTGTTTGAGGCTTCGTATGGTGCGCTGGTCGTGTCTGGCGTTTCGATATAGCATGCTATCAAAGCTCAATATCTTTTTTATCTTTCAATCACTTTGTAGGTCGTTTTTCAAAACCTTGACATCTCATGACCTTCAACTTGAGGCACCTTGTGCTGCGATGCTACGTACGGCGATCGCATTTGCGTGCAGTAAAGTGGTAACTATAACTAACAGTGCTTCATTCGGTGTTAAGGATTTTGCATAACTTCCCATTGATTACGAGCGAGCTTACATCACCATGGACTCCTTCCAGCCTTTCCCAGTCGGTTCTTTGCCATGGTATAGCGGTTTTGTAGGTAAATTTAACGCCCACGGTTGAGACCTGACTATACCCGACACCCATGACGACTAATAATCCATGTGCGTTGCTGGCATTCCCATATACGACTGTTTTACACCTCAGAAAACACTGGTTAGAATATGTTGCAAGCAGATCTGATGCATTAGCAGACAGGATAAGTTTCACAGCACAATGCCCACGGTGTGTAATGTCCGTTAAGTCGGTGATTTATTCAGTGATTTATTCAGCGACGAGCCCCCGATTTCTCTGAAGAAAGATCTCAAGATGGATTATGGTACGAGAACATCGAAAAGTACCTTTTTTTTGCAATATAATGCTACCCTTCGAGGTAAAACTGGGTCAAAGGAAGGGAAATCGATATCAATAAAAATTACAGGCCACTTTGAAAACTGCAAGCATCAAATATTCACAAAGCCCAAGAGCTAGCGTCCGTCAAAAAGTACTATGATTTTCAAGGTCACCCTTCAAGACGGGAATTCCATATCATCTTAAGTTAACAGACAGCTATTAAACTGGTCAGAACCAGAATATTCACTACAGAGAGGACTAGCGTCCGTCAGAAAGTCCTGACGTTCAAAGCCGCCATTCAGGGTCAAACGCGGACTCAAAGAACGTGAAACTCAATATCACCCAAAATTATCGGCCGATTGAAAACCTGGAAACATCAGAATATTCACCACAGAAAGAACTTGCGTCAATCAAAAGGGTCCTGACCTTTTTAGGTGACCGTTTATCGTGGAACTTGGGCATAAAGGACGCGAAACTCCATATCGCTCAAAAATTACCGACCAATTTCAAACTTGCCACAACTAGAACATTCACTACAGACAGGACTAATATCCGTCACAAAGTCCGGATTTCTCAGTCACTCTTCAAGGTCAAACGCAGGTTAAAGAAGGGGAGACTCAACATCACCCAAAAGTTACCGGCGGCTTTTAAACTCACAAGGATCAGAATATTCACCACAGAAAAACTAGCGTTCGCCGAAAGTCCTGACCTTTCAAGGTCATCTTTTTAAGATCAATTCAGGCTCAAGGACGGGGAACTTCATAACACCCAAAAATTACCGGCCGATGTTAAGCTTGCCGGAACCAGAATATTCGCCACAGAGAGGACTAGCAACCGTCAACAAGTTTTTAGCTCTCAAGGTCGCCCTTCGAAGTCGAACGCGGGCCCAAAGGACGGGGACTAATTTGATGGACGCTGGTTCTTTCTTTGGTGAGTATTCTGGTGCTTGCAAGTTTAAAACTGGCCGGGAACTTTTTGATGATATGGGATTCCCCGTCCTCTGACCCGAGTTTGACCTTGAATGGTGACCTAGAGAGGTCAGGACGTTTTGACAGGCACTAGCTCTTGCACTTGTGAATATTTTGATGCTTGCAGTTTTCAAATCAGCCGGTAATTTTTGGGTGGCATCGAGTTCCCCTTCTTTTGATTCGGCCCTTGACCTCGAAGGTTGGATGGTATTGCAATATAAAGGTCACTTTGGATGTTCTGGTGCCATAATTGACCTCCAGACCTTTGTTCAGAGGAAGCAGAACCCGCGCTGAATAAATCGCCGAACAAATCACTAACTTCACGGACATCACATCGTCAGGGGCTGAAAAGTTCAGAAGATGTCCCTGAAAAACGGACCTGATACATCTTGTTCCGAAGCTTCCCCAGCACTGATTTCACAACACAATTCTGAATAAAGTTTGCCACCGTTGATGTATTTCGCATACAAACCTCTTGTCAATGTCACGTTCCATACTGAGCACAACCATCATCTACAATACTAACACCATCACAAGAAAATAGTGATTGGTCAGATCTGTGGTCAAGTAGCCCGCAGCCTTCTTCACACCGCCGATGACAATGCTCAATCAGTTCGCTTTCCAAACGAGCGACGTCGGAAGACAGCGACATTTTTTCCAATTGGCAAAACGCTTTAAAGACGCAAGGCAACAGCTGCCCCCGCCAGACTCAACTGGAAATGCATGCAAATATGGTTGGCCATACAGCTCCACTACCGCATGAACTCTTGGTATGGCACGGGGCTGTTGTTGTAATAAACAAAACAAACGATGCTGGTGCTGATGAAAAGGACCGCCTGGACCCATCTTAATTTATGTTCAAGCATCATCCCATTTCCCAACATTGTGTAAACATTGTCTCATCGATATGAACGTCACCAGCATCTGAATCCATTAGCATGCACGAACCGGGCCACTTGTTCGGTGGACAGAAAGCTACTAGCGGGACGTTTTCCTGGGCAGCAGCATAATATATTTCTGAGACGGCATAATGAAGTTACACAAAATTGGTGAAACCAATGCCCTACCCTTAGCGTTAAGAGCGTTCTCGAAACTGGTGGAAAACATGTTGGTTGCAGCATCTATTGTGTTCTTTGAAGCATTAGTATTGGTACTCATATGGTAAAAGCATAGTTTAACAATCAGTTAAATGCATGCGCATACCATGTTGTAGCATTCTTAAGTGTGTGCGGTTACCACTCTGGTCACTAATACGCATATTGTCGGCAAGCCCGCTGAATGCACCGCATACTGGCAGAGCCACGCTATTGCGCTGCGCCAAGATAGCCCGTGGCCGCAAGATGCTAGACCGGAAGAGGTCCGTTTTCCCCATTATGTGTATATTGAGCTTCTTCCGAGGAAAGTGAACTGTCCGCTTACCGAAACTTCAGCCAGTCTGCAGCCATACATGTCACAAATAAGTCTACCGCGAAAACTCTAACAGGAGAAATGCTAGAAAGATCAACGTTTTCGGATCATAGCGTGTAACTGTTGTAAATCACCAGCCTGCTCAAGGCTGCTCTCTCTAGCATACAGCTGTTAAAAAATAGCTTTTGTTCTCAGCTTCCAAAGCCTCATAACGGTGATACACAAATGGCGCACAGCCTAACTAATCCACGCACCGAACGGCGAGGCATATGCAATGATGGTGTGAACATGTGCATACCTGCGCTGTCGTAAGGCATGCCGAGCAGCTGATGAATGCAAACAGTGTTCGTGCTCCTAAAAGGGACGCCTTACCTATTTACATTGCCAGCGGTACTGTGTGATGATAAGACACGCGCGCACTTCCTGTCCGTAAACGCTGGACTGACTACACAGCATGGCTATACGAAACTACATTTACAAGACTGCACAATCCACACCACACAGGCATATCTTCAAAGATTCGCGCCAGGTTCATGCACCGGCAATGCTCGTAGCACACGAAATCTCCCACTAAGCCTGACTCAGCACAGTCGCTGGTGTAAACAGGTTTCACAGCGTGCTGGACGGATTCGAAACCTTGTCCCCCGCCGAACGGTCTCCCAGAACACAGGGATTCTGTCCGTGCCGGCGTAGATGCGGTATGCGGCACAATCTTTCAGGTGCGCTGCAGCGGTGGGCCAAAGCCCAGGGCGAGCCCCTCTGCAAGATGAACAATCCATATTATCACCCCCCTCCGTTAACGCAGGTAGCTCCTGCCAGGCTCAGAGACAGAATGTGCACGCACTTTCATGCTTGCAGCGTAGCACGCCTGAGAGGTTCTCAGACAGACAGTGGACAATTTGTAATTGACGCACCTTATGAGTACCACGTCACCAGTGGTGGCGAGACAATGGCGTGAGGCCCAATAACGTTCTCAGCTAGTGGCGAGCTTTTAGACTGCCGACAGCGTGTATCAGAAAGGAACGAGCTCAAAGGTAACGATCACCACGTAGACACTCATCTGCACCTGAGAGGAACGAAGGCACTAAACGCCGGGGCATCCATCAGGTGGGCCTTCTTATAGAAGGGACACTTGGAGGGGGGAGGAAGGATATTCGCCACAGAGGGAGCGAGACTCTTACCAAACAGGCATGAAGGACAAGGGGGAAACACCTAGGACAAACAGGTACCAACCAGAGATTGTGAAAGCATCTGCCAGGGGAGGATACGCTTACCACGGAAACACCGCCAAGGAGGAGGAGCACTTACCAGACGGTGCGGGCGCTCACCAGCGCCGGAGGCGGACGGCGGTGGCCGCGCCCACCATGAGTGAGACGGTGAGGCCTCTGGCCAGCAGGAGCGCCGCGTCGGACGTGCTGTAGCCGGGGACGTTTACAGGCCGGCGGGCACACAGGGATGAACGCCTCTGCGGACGGACGTCGGTCGATCAACACCGTGGCGGCAAGCAGCACTCAGCAGGAACAGTCGGAATAGGCGGCGCAGTCAGCGCACGCGGCACATATGCCTCAGGTGGTACGGACGACACGGGCGCCACAGGTGGACCTTACAGGTCTCCGACATCGCCTGCTCGGTATCATCTGCCCGCGCGTGGAAGGCGCAGAGGGGTGACGAGGTGGCGATCTAGTGGCCGCCGCCAGATCCCTCCAGTGTCGCTCGACCCACGCCTGTCTATGCGGAGGGAAACGCAACAGAGGAGACACATGCGACATACGCAGCATAGGCGGCTACGGCGACACAGACAGAGCTGGTGTGAGGTGTGTGGGGCTCGGTTCAGATGAGCTCAAATAATGGCCACATCATGTGCTTACATTTACTAACAAAATTTTGAACGTCCAATTGTCGTCGATATCAACACCCATCACTCGGACATACTGGCAGATCCTCAATAATAAAAAAGCACATGAAATCGAGGGTCGCTGCATTCGTTCTCGTTATTTACCATAACTAAGTTAGTTTTTTTAATGGCAGGTCTCAACTCTCAGCCATCTGTGATGCAAATGCTTAAATCATGCCAGTTTCTAGCCTAACAAAAAAGTGCGTGTAGAAAGGCGATGGACAGCCAAAGCTGCGCAAAGGCAAAAAATCGCAATCTTTGCTTAAATCACACCTGCAGACAGTCCAGATCGTGAAATATGGTTTAACTAACAAGATATTATACCATCAACGAAACCAAATATATTTTGCGTTGACTTGCCCTTCTAAAAGCACTTAAAAACTGGTTTGTTTGATAACTTAGCAGCACGATTGAAATTATTGAAGACATGCAAGGCTTAACCACGTGCCCCAGGTGGCCGACGCTCTGACCTTTAAGATCTCTATGGAAGATGCATAATGCGGTTCCTGCTATTAATAAACTCGAAATGGGCATCAGAAACTATTCAATACAGGAAGCCCTTAGTAATGAAACAGGTTGGTTTGGGCATTGGTCTTATCTTCATATCTTACCCTAGGTCCATCAAATTTTCTCATTTAATTGTTGTGTTGCCAAGAAAACCTATTTTCGCGATGCCTGACTCTTGTCTAGCACTCCGTTGCCTGCATCAGATTGAACGATCCCCTAGAAACTTGCTTCGCTGAATCCATGACCTGACTTTTGATGCCGCAGGTCAGCGACCTTGCAAGGTACATCTATATTGCTAATACCACGCGATTCGCCTTACTCAAATTTCTACCGGCCACGCAAAACTTGGCGCGGCTTTACCCGCACTGTTCGAACACTATTCCGGAAAATCTTCGAGTGGTGGGTCGAATTGGTCTCTACCCAAGCGCGTGTAAAAGGGTGCATACCACATCTGTGTGGGTGTTAAACTGAAACAGTCATCTTGGAGACCATTCGGTGGATTTCAAAGCCTTATCCTTCTTAAGATCCAAACCATTCTAGTTTCTGGGCTACAGGCTCGCAAAGATGTGCGGACTTTTTCGAGGACACTTCTTCAAGGTCACCCAGACATCTGTGGCGTCAGCGTAACATCATTCTAATCCCGCCATTTCATTAGCCATAAGACGATCACGGTCAATAAAACATGATTGTCGATTAGTTTCATATCTGGCGTTCGTGAGCACGATTTCAAGACGTAACGGTCGCCAACTGGTCCTCAATACATGTTGTGCAAGGCACGATGGCGTAATCAAACAATGACACATTGAGAAACGCATTAACTGACAGAGAAACTATGTTGCATAGAGCAGTATTTTCCCTCTGAAAGTATGCCAACAGACCAGATGAGCACCTTTCATGAAGTCTCATGCTTGCTTCAATATCTTCACGTGTGGAAACTTCGCTTTACGGCAGGTTCGTGGCGAAGAAGACCTTTTACGGCTCAAAATCACCGTCGATCATTGCCGCCCTGAGACCTGGACACAACTGAGAAGTGACCACCGTTGCTCTGAACGATGTCAGGTTCAGAAGGTTACCCGTGCACGTTACGAACACCGGCATTCCACCGCGCGCTTACTGAGCGATGGCGAGGACGCAGCCCGCGCATGCCACAGCGTTACTGACCAAAGGATGAGCGTAACTTCTAGCGTTGCCCTGGTCTGCAGATACCGGTGCTTGTCTCGCTGACTCCGACGCACGGCGCGCGGACCCGCTACTCACCGACTAGCTCCACCGAGTTCTCCGCGGTGCCGAGACGGTTCGCCGCCCGGCACTGGTACTGGCCGAACTGTTTCTTCTTCTCTATGGACAGTGTGCGCAGGTTGCTGTCGGTGGTCTGGTCACTGGTGGCGAACATTGACATCCTGCCGGCGTGCGTACGAGAGCGTTATTAGGGACGTAGGCGTGGTTGGGCCAGCTGGTCACACACTCACAGGCAATCATCAGCAGCACAAAGCGGGACTTGGTTGCTTTCCAACATGGCGGAAACCGGGCTAAGTTACGAGTAAGTCATGCACTTGCGTTTTGAAGATACGTTTTGAAGATAATCCCTGATAATCTTACCCCTTTGGAAAATATCAACCTACATATCGCATGCAACCCCCCATTAACTCACTGGTGATGTTGGTTGTTGTTCAGGACGAGACCATCCTTAATCCACGTGATGCTAGGCGGAGGGTACGCCTCCACAAGGCATTCCAGGTCCATGTCATACTGCATCGCCTGCAAGACAGGAAAAAGACCAACACGTATCAAATTAGTTATGAGCTTGCTCATTCAAACAATGACGCTATCAAAAATTCACCTATAACTTCTAGAACCACACTAAGCAACAGAATGGCCCGAAACCATATTTACTGCCATGCCAAGGTCATCATTCTGACAATCACTCGACAATTAATTTAGTGATGTCTTGTGCATAAAAAAAACGCACACCAAACGGTCAGCTGTCGTATGCGTATATAAAAGAGCCACATCTTCAAAGCAATTCTCCAACGACGACATCGGCAAACAGGGCCTTGATGCCTCGACTAACGCCAATCTACTCGACAAAAGTAAGATTCCGCGCATAATACATGAAATTAAATACTCGAGCCACCTCAGCCCCCACTTCCACGGGCCATAACGAATGCTTTACAATTATTTCACCTAAGCAAAATGCAGCAAGCATCAATCGTGTGAAAATCAGGCATGGTATAGCGCTGGGACAGCGGTGCTTGCGGCGGGACGGCCCTCAGCGCACGCACAGTAGCTGCCGCCCGCCTACCGGCCGGTGCTGACCTGGTAGACCTTGGGCCTCGGCACAGTGATGACGGGTGCGAACTCCACCTCCACGGCCACGTTTCGCTTGGAGCCGCGGCCTACGCCGTTGTCGGCCACGCAGTAGTAGGTGCCACGGGCCTCCTTCCTGACGCTTTCGATCACCAGCACGTTGCCTCTGGAAAAAGGCGTCGGGCTGGTTAGACTCGCCAAGATTAACATAATGTCGTGACGGTCGATCGGCGGCTAAATAATGGGTGCGGAACTGCATGGCGAAATATGGCTGCATGAGGAATGCTCGCTCGGGATATGCAGGTATTTCGTTGAATCGCTATTTGATTGCATGCGTCATTTATGGTATCATTTATGGTTGCTAAATGTTTGGTAAAACCAGCGTGCCCACACGTTTACCTCAATTTTTGAGCCATATGATACACCGAAATACAGATCAGTATTAAGCAGTGTCACACATTGCGAACACCCCTGATCAAGAGATCATAATTATAGGGGGCCGGCCAAATGTACAGAACCGATTGCGCCTCGCGACCTTGCACAAAGGAGCTGAGGACAGCTACAATATCGTAAGTCAAGCACACCGGGATTGAGCTCTGTGAAACGTCACCAGGGCCCAAGCCAGAAGGCTAGCAAGTCATTGGAGTTGTATTCATTGGAGTTCAATTAAACATATGAAGTCGTTTAGCGTAGCCCCCGCCGCTCGCCCCAGCGCTGGGAAGACGAAAATCTTGGCTGGCAGCCAGACTCGAACCCCCCCCCCCCCCCCCCCCACACAGTTTCCGGCGCACAGTTGCGAGACGTCCGCTTTACCGACCCGAACGACGACATCCCCATTCGAACAAGCCGCACGCGTTCTGAAATCTAACGCCGACGCCACTGATGAAGACTGGTGGATCGTACCGGGAGATGGCCTTGCCGGTGGGCAGCAGGTAGTTGTTGTCGCGCCTCCACGTGATCTCCGGCCGAGGGAAGCCGCTGGCGTAGCAGGACAGCTCCACGCGCTCGCCCTCGGACGCTATCACGGACCTGGCGGCGCCGGGCATGAGACGTCAGGGTACCGCGACCGCTCGGGGCGCACGTCCCATGCGTTTTGGAGGGCAGTCAGGCTGCAGATATTTACGGGTGGACACACCAGCTGCAGGGCCGTGGGCAAAATTGCGAGTGCACAGGGCAAAATTTACATGGGTGACTGCGCAATACTAGGCCATGGCAGGCCTGATGCCGTGATCTCGTATCAGCGTCACTCTCGTGCTCGTGTTGATGTCATTCGAATCATTCTGAAGAGAGTCTGTTCTCAACAACGCAGCACCTGGTGGAGTTGTCCGAAATGACCGGCTTCAGTCGAACGGCCAGCAGAACGGTGCCGCTGATGGAGTTCTGGACACTTATTTGGCATAGGCACTCGTAGACGCCCTGGTCAGATTCTTGGATGTCACTGATCTGCAATACACATCAACAGTGACCCCTGGAAGTCACTTATCTGGAACACACATCAACAGCGACTACTACATCATATTCCCACTACTGGTAATGTTCTCAATAGCACGGTAAATGCGATGTAGTACGGCACGTTACCAGAGTCGCTACATTATGTTTTAAAAACGTACAGGATCAAAGCGAAAGAAAACGCGCAATTTGTCCACCTCTCAATCACGATACAGGTCATTATGTACTTACTAGGTCAAAGCCAGTATAACAGGCTCTGTGAATTGCGCGAAGTTCTCAACCATTTGAGAGCCAATGCATGGCTGCTACCTCATGGTGGGTCACATCGCACGATTATACCAGTCGTTGGGATTCGTAGCGCGTCGCTTGACACCCATAAATATAGGTACGACGTCCTTTGAATTTTGGTTTAGTCTGCGTATTGTATCCAGTGCTGGACTGCACACATCGTCGAACCCCAATCTGGCTTAAAGCTGCCTTTTAACCCCAGTGCTTTTCCGCAGGTGTCGTTTAACTCCCGCCCTCATTCACCGGGCGGCCTTTGATTCCCCTTCTGACCTGCAGGGTGTAGGTGTCGCCTTCTTGCTCCACCGAGAAGCGTGGTTCTTGTGTGAATAAGATCGTGTTGGAGGAGATCGGCACGTCAATGGAGTTCAGACCGTTCGCCTGCTTCATCCAGATGACTGAAAACTGATTGGCGAACTGGGAAGCGGGCAGGCTGTTAGCACATGATTGCAACGGTTTAGGCGGATTAAGGTGCACCGAGCGTCGGGTTAAGCGATATCCAGCGGCGAAATTTACATTTGTAAAGGTGTCAAATGTGGCAGCTC